AAACTTTCATTTTGATCTTCTTAATCTAGTCTACTTCCCAAGCAGCTCAAACACAGACCATCTCTATTCTCTTTCTGCACTAAGTTGAATTTACTACTTGGAAAAGCTCCCTGCTTTTTCATACCTGACTGCTTGCTACATTTCACACCTCTGTATCTGATGTCTTCTACTATGCTGACTTTAAAATAAATCTGAATCTTTTAGTCTCATGACTTACTTACATTTCCTCTAAGACTTAACACGAGGGCTCCTTTTCCTGTCAAGTATTACACTCTTTACCAACTGTAACAATAAAAGCTAAAGTGAAGCCTGTAGCTCACCACGTGCAAGTGTAGGATGTAGGCAGCCATGACAGGCCTGTGCACATCACACCTCTGCATACGCTGCACTGTACTGTTATAGCTTGAGGAAGAAGGCAGGGAAAACACAGGGAGAAGGACTTCCCACAGACTCCAAGAACCAGTCCAAAGTATGGCATTTGCATCTTTGCCCACCCTGTCCTGTGCAGCACTCTCTTGCTGGGATGTTGCTTTTGCCTGGAGCTGCCAGGTGCTGCCATTGCTTGGGCTGAGTTTCACAAGGGGCTCTGGCCAGCAAACACCTCTCACTGCTCCCAGGTAGTGCAACTATTCTCTCTGTCCTCAGAAAGAGAGGCACAAAAACTTCTTTACCTTCTTCAGGTAGTCCCTGGACTTTTTACATGGGCAAGTAGTAATAGAACAAGGGGGAATTGCTTTAAACTGAAAGAGGACAGATTTAGATTTGATATAAGGAATAAATTCTTTACTATGAGGGTGGTCAGGCTCTGGCACAGGTTGCCCAGAGAAGCTGTGGCTGACCCCATCCCTGTCAGTGTTCAATGACAGGCTGGATGGGGCTTTGAGTAATCTGGTCTAGTGGAGGGTGTCCCTGCCCATGGCAGGGGAGTAGATTTAGATGAGCTTTAAGGACCCTTCCAACCCAAACCATTCTATGCTAACATAATAACAAACACTAGGCCAAGTCAGTTGGTTCAGACAGAAGTTGTGAAAATTCTGAACAAAAACTGTATCACTGCTCTGGCCACTCTCCTGTCCTTGAAAGCCTGAAGACTGAGAGCTCTGATCCTCTCGAAAGCTGTACATGTGGGCACACCTCTTGTTCTTGGAAGTGTCAGCTGGGAATAAAACACAGAAATCTTCTCAGCTTTGAGTCACCACCCTGATACTGAGTCAGGAATTTTAACGCCAGTTTTCTTACATGGGAAATTCCTTCCTTGAAATATAGCAATTTTAGAAAAGTTTGGATTCAGCTCTGAGTATCATGGTCCAGGCTTATCTAATCTACCTACCAAGGCTGGTATCTGTAGGTAAAATCCCTGTTATTAGTGAAGTGACCATTGCTGCTTTTAGAGGTAATACTCAAGATGCTGTAAGACGTAACAGCGGAACTCCCTCCTGTTTCCCCCTTTATTAAATATATGTATGTCCACCAGCACAAGTTAAGCAGAGACTTGGTGGCTTCCTTTGTGAGGCAGAAGCAGTAGTGGCTTCTATAAGTGCACTTATTAAAATATATTTTCCTACTACTCCCGGCCCTGAAGGATCATCTCAGCTTATGAGAACTAAGCTTCTGCTTATCTGATTATTAAATCATTTCTAAAGCAGATGGGGAAATACAGTGGTTTAAACAGCTAGGCTGAGACTGCATGGCTAAAAATAGTATAGCAGGCTCCTTTTAATTAGTAAGACGATCAAATATGACAGAAGAGAGAGATGTAGATATATGGATTTGTGTGTATGTGTGTCTTTAAAATTAAGTTATTACCTCAATACCAGGTATTATTTATAACATATATGATACATGATGTCTGATTTTTATGATGCCATTTATCTTCACTTGGGAGAGACGACAGGCTAACTCTGCTTTCATAATGTCAATCTTTGCTGTATTCAAAAGGAAAATTGTAATAAGATAAACCTGCCACTATGTGCAGTGCCGTCATTTTTTAAATGAGGCGGATTAGTAAGTGCTCCAACGGAATAGACTCTCAGATCTGCTGCTCACTGAGATTGACCCTTCCACAGGGCCCCCATGGAGATCATGGAAGAACCAGTCTAGCTTTATACTTGTGATTTCATGTCATAGGAACCCAGCTTAGGGCCAAAGGGGTGATATCTATCCTACCACTGTGCTGCCCATGTATTTTTGAGGAATCTTCAAAGCCTTAACAGGGGAGAAAAGAAATCTGTTGCCCTTCTGCTCCAGCAGCAGCCCTTTGGTGTCTGTCCAGGCTGTTGTGACAAGCTTCCAGGAAACACATACTGATGCCACGCTTCATGCAGGTAAGCAGAGGAGGTTGAGGATGTCTGGCATGTTGGGCACTAGGTCAGACAGATGTCCCTTGCTCCAAGGGGAATCCAGACAGGGAGGCACTGCAAGCTATACCCTTTACTACAGGAGGACCCAACCAGCGGTGGACACAACCCCCTTCTTGGCTATTGCATAAAGGTATCAGCTTGTACTTTGAAAGGACCTGGAAGTAAAAGATGAATCATCACTGAAAATCTTGCCAAAGATTTTCCAGCCAAACCTTAAGCATATGCTTAACTTCAGTGCGCTGCAGGGTCAGCTAGAATATGTGATCCTGTAATGAGGAATCACTAAAGCATAGTGGAGCTCTGGAAATGAAGGCTGCTGTATTGCTCTACTCCTACACCGCTGGGGAACTGCAGTGGACTTTGGAGAACTAGAGCATGCAGAATTAACTTTGTCTTAATTTAGTCCTCTGAGTATGCCATGAAATTATGACTTTGGTAATGCTGTCCTCTGAGGACATTCTGACGTGCCAACAGAGTGACTATTTTCTCATCTGACGGTAGTGACAAACTGCCGTAATGCAAAGTATGAAAAATTCAGACCCTTCCTAGTTCTGTTAGCTACCATGCCACTGGAAGATGACATTTTATATCTGTATTAAGAAAAATGAAAGAAAATGTTTACAGTATGCTTGCTAGTAAAACATCAATGAGCTAAAGAAGACCAATCTACAGTGATTTTCTTTACAGGTACTTAGATTATAATTCTACCATCCCAAACAGAGCTTGTCAAGTTACCCTTCAAATCAAATGCAAGAGAAAAATCCATCCTTGGCTGTGTTACTATAAACCCAGCCAGTCTAGTAAAGTGAGAGTTACTCTTCCATGTATTTGGCAAATCTGGGAGCAGAATTTACCACTCGGTGTAAATATTTCTGCATAGTTTGTTTTGAAAAAAATCTTGCCTATTCCTCTTTCTGGCAGACTCTTGGAAAGTAGTAAATATGCAGATGGGCATAGTGATATATTTTGTATCAACATATTTTAAATGTGTGCATATGCATTAGCTATATAAATACATTCCCCAGGAAGTCTGCCAGTGGATATACTACAAAGCTCTGCATGTTACATTTGGGTTTGCTTGTGCAGTGGCATGACAGCATCAGAAAGAACCCCTATAGGCTTATTTGCTCTACAAGAGCTCACACTTACCTGAGCAGTTTCCCCTTTTCGATCTGTATGTACAAATATTTTATATTTATATGCCATGTGTATGTATCTAGTGTATATATAAAAATACATACATACACACACAAATGTAAATATATGTACCATATATATACATAGAATCATAGAATCATAGAATGGTTTGGGTTGCAAAGGACCTTAAGATCATCCAGTTCCAACCCCCTTGCCATGGGCAGGGTCACTTCCCACTAGACCAGGTTGCTCAAGGCCCTGTCCAGTCTAGCATGCCTTCATTATAAAGCTGTTGTAGAGCCATAACAAGGTTCATGAATTTTCTATGAAATATTGTTCTGTACAGTAGCTTCTATGGGAATCAACCACTTGATGACTGTCTGCTATCCTAGTATCACCTTGCAACTAATGATGGGTGATACATGAAGACCATAGCATTATGCCAAAATCATATGACATACAGAGTCAAAGTGTACTATTTGATACTAAGCAACACATGAGTAATTTCTCACTGAGCCAGTTGCTGCATATTCATCCTCAGATCTGTGATCGCCCTGTGTTGCCCCATGCACACTGTCTGTCCCACCCTGTGCTGTCCAGTATCCTTGCTCCTCCACCCCACTTGCAGCATCTGCCTCTGGTCCTGCCTCCTCTCCCTGCTCTTTCCTTTCTCTGGAAAATCTGCTGCACGTGCAGATCTCTGAAAGCAAGTGGGACAAGTGGGTATTGCCCAAACTCTGGGGTCCTGCTTGGGGGGATGGAGAGAAGCAGCCCTGGCAGGTGCCCAATGCCACCCTGTGCTGCAGCATCCCTTCCCAGCTGGACCAGCTTCCTCCACCTGGAAAGAGTGTCTGGAGTTTGGACACTGGTAAAGGACAAGAGAGGAAAGGACATCTGTTGACTGCCCTTGAGATTCCACTGTCCCCTTACATAAAGGTTTAACAGTGTGATGTTTCTTGCTGTTACTGCACTCAATTTCTGGTATCAGCACCATGAACTAGTCAAAGGGTATTGCTCATCACTATTTACATAAGCATTGGCAGAGGGGGGCAACAGAGGAAGAGGCTGCAGTGCTGTGGGTGGATATGGATGTGTATATGCATATGGTATCATTAACCATGCACTATATAACCATATGGATACTGCTGCAATGGCGCTATGAGAACCATGCTCTTCTACTTCATTGCGCAAGGAAAAGCCACAACAATTACTGTAGTGGGAGCACAGCAAGAAGGCAACCTTGCATTTAATTCTAGACAAAAGTCAATCTGCTTTTGCAGTGATGATAAGCTAGAATGAGCATTATGGAATTCTGCTTCCTGCCCACCCACCTCCCCCCTTCTTTACAGCTACAATTTAGATGAGCTACAGTACTAAGAAAAGAAGCTGCAAAAATGCTAGCTGCAAAAATAAAAGATGAAATAAAAAGTCAAGCATCCAGATTCCCCCCAACTGAAAATGAAACTCTGAGGAGAGGGAGGAGGGAAAAGAAAAGGAACTTACCACACTGCGAGTGAACTTTTCTAGAGAAGTTCTACGACCTTGCTCATTCTCTGGCTTAACAGGGAAAAAAGTGCAGAGAAAAAAAATACAGAAGAAAACCCTTCAGCTCAAATGCAGTTTTTCAAAACAGCAGCAAAATATAAAGAAGCAGCTAGGGGAAAATGTTGTAAAGAAATGTAAAAAGCAGAAATCAATGTTTGCAAGAGCAAACATAAGAAACCAAAACCCCTTAAAGAATGAGAGACATCGCTACTTCTACTCTCGGAGAATGTCACCTTTTCTCCTGTGAGTTTTTTGATCAGTTCAAACAGGTCTGTGCATTGCTGCATCTCACAGCTATTGGTATTGATTTCTTGTTCATTGAATTTTCCTTCTGTGGCTGTTTGAGCTGGGACCTCTGATTCTGCTTAACATCTGCCAAACAGCTGATTGGAGGCTCCCATCCATTTGGTTTAGAGAGATGGAAAAAAAAAAACACAGCAACTTTTACAGTATTAAAGAGCAATGTGTGAGTGAATACAGTGCTGGAGGAAAACCGCCACTGAACTCATTGCCAGGGAACTTACACTTCTCCATTTATCCAGAAGGCAGAAGCACATTTCCAGTAATTTTGGCTACATCAAAACATATGACAGCATAGGTATGCCTGTGAAAGGTCACGGAAAGATACAGGCAGATCTGGGCACTGGTATTTTTGTATCTGGAGTACAGGACTATTCATATGCAAGAAAACATTCAACTTCACTGTGAGAAGACAAGCGTGTGCATCATGGCTTTATTAACATATCCCTGAGAAGGTTGCTCACCGCAGCGCTTCATTCACTTGGCACGAGGGAGATGTAATTGTCACTAACAGGGAAGAACTAAATAATTTATTGGCATGTTTGCTGGAATATCTAAGAGAAAAAAAATGTTATAGAGAAGAGAAGAATCTCAGTAACATGAAGGAAAGCTCATTGCAGGAACAAAGCTGTGGTAGCTGCTGATTACCAGGAGAGAAACTTACTTTAATGTGGTGAGCCAGTGAAATGGAGGTGATAAGATGAAAGTAAAACTGCAGCAAGGGGGATAAGGAGCTACATATACGGAAAGCCAAAGCAATGGTTGTGCTTGACACTGCACTGGAAATAAGCATTGCACTGGAGGTGCTCATCAGAGGCACCTACCTGCCCTATCATATGCCACAGATTTAGCTGCAGTAACAACCCCCAGGACAAACTACCAGCACAAAACTCAGATAGAGAAGATGTAAGGAAGCCAAAGCATATCAGAAAAACTGGATGAGAACTTGTGTAGGTGAGTCTAGGCAAAACCTCTTGATGCTTCTGCACGTTCATCACAGCTGCCACAGCTCTCTGATGTCTACAAGGGCTAATTGTCCTCGCTGCATCATCAGAGAGGAGAATAGAACATAAGGCTCTTTTAAGACAAGCAAATATTTTGTCCAAAGCAATATTCTTTGTCCAAAAGAAAGAGTCAAGCAACCTCCCCACTTATAACCATTTGAGGATGACACATCACCAGCTCTGATGTCCCAAAAGCTGAACCAATAGTGAAAACTGCATTTTAGCCACTGACAGTGGAGCCAAGGTCCTGGAGCATGTACCAAGCAACAAAGCAGGTTTCCTATCTCACAGAAAAGCAGTAATGTACCCAGTCCAATGCTCCCCCAAAGTGTACTTATCATGCACTATTAGTTGCCTCTCCCTGCATGTGAGAGGAGAAGAAAGAGAAAAGAAACGTCAGCCTCACTGTTCCGCTGAGCATGGCAACGGTGCGAGTGCTCAGAGCATCACAGATCCCCTCTCTGAAGAAGCCTCAGAAGTGTCCCTGCACCTGGGTTGGCAGAGGTGACAGAGAATTGCTGCAATCCTACTGCCTTGGCTGAACATGTCAGGACGAGCAGGACTGAGGACAGCAGTGCACAGCCATGTGCTGGCCTCTGTGCTGGACTCCTGCAGAAGTGGCAAGACATACCAGCAGCCAAATTAAAGGCATAATTTCACTCAGGAGAAGAAGCACCTAAAGAAAAGACAGAAGGTTCTGCAAGACTCCTGGGGGCACTTGGATTCTATGGCATCCCATTGCTGTGGACTGAAAATCAGCGTCTGGCCTGACTGCATTTTAAGTGGAGATTTGCCATGCACTGGGGGCAAAAAAGTAAGCTGCTGAAAACAGACCATGTTGTGCACCTGCGCTTGCTGTCAAAATTTAGTGTCTCTGGTTTTGCTACCTGCAAGGTGTTGCAGCTTTCCACCCAGCAGGAAGGCAGGATGATGGTCTCCAAAGATGATGAACACTTTGCTGGGGTTTCTGAGAGCTCCTCTAGCACAGAGGGGATACCCACAAGGCTCCTTCCCTGCAAGAGCTGAAGACATGCGTGGGGGAGCAGGCACAGAGAGCACTGATAGTGTCCCACCAGAGCGCCTTGCAAGTACAGACTGCAGCAATTCTGCACATTTGGCATGGGGATGGCAGGCTGGGATCAGCTGAATGCGTGGAAAGCTCATCCCCATAGCATCTAGCTCTGAGTCAAAGCGTGACATTTTCTAGTAAAATAAGAAGCAGCTGAGGCAGGCTGGCTGCAGAGTGATGAGCTGGTTTGAGCAGCTTAAATGGCAGCGGGTGTGGGTGCTGGCTGCACAGCTCCCTGGCTCTTCCTGCCTGCTTGCCTGCAGACCGCATGGCTGGCAGCCTGCTGCGGAGGTAACTGCCTGCCCGCATCCCTCCAGTGCGGCTGGAGGTGTGGAGTGTGGCCACATGCACAGCAGAGGAAGGAAATGTAAAAATAACAAAGTGAAAACAAGAAAAGAGACTGAGTCAGACGTTTCTCAGTCCTGTGAACATATCTGGGGTCCTGTGTGGCAAGGCTGAGGGCCCTAGGGCTGTGCCTGCTGCAGCACCACAGTTGTGTTTGCGCAAACACGCACTACGACTGCAAAGGGAAAGGCAGAGAAATGTGTGTGTGCCAGGTCAAGCAGTACTCCTAGGTGCTCTGGATGTGTGCATTTGGATAAAGATGGAAACAACCACCCCTGCTGCAGATTAAAACCTCTCAGATCAGGTAGGTGCAGAAAAATAGATTTCACCCCTTAGGAGCTGTTCTCTAATTATTGACTGTCTCCTCCAAATTTTCCTGTTTTCCATGATTAATTATTTACCCAGCCATCCCAATTTCAAGTTCCTTTGTGTAGATTCTGCTGGCACAGAGCAGTGTAAGTAGAAAAAAACTTATGAAAACCAGCTGGCATTGATTATTAAAAGTAATTATAAGAAAATTGCTCAGCATCTTTGTAACACTCAAGCCAAGTCCTGCCACTGAATCAAAGTGGTCATGTGTACCCTGACGGGACCGAGATGGGAACAGAATCTGTAGTAGGAACCTTCCTGACAGTATAAAGCAGTCAGGACAAAGGATTTGAATAAAAGCAATGCTTCAAAAGGTTTATGCTGAAAATGGAGCCTGTTCCATTGCTGACACTTTTTCCCAGGGATATGAAAAGGGGTAGGAAAATACATCCAGAAACTTGTTCTTCTGCACTGCAGATCTGCAAAAATCTTTCTCCTTCCCTGTACACATGTACACCTGTGCAAAGCGAGAAAGCAAAGGGCATGTACAGTGCTACCAAATGGCTGGAACAGTATTTTGCATGTTTTGTGACCTTTTGTGCAGGACCATGGAAAACTGACCCTTGTCTGAACCAGCTGGAGAGGAAAACAATGCTCTAAACCAAGCAAAGCCAACCTTCTCTTCCACCGGTGTGATGGGGCTCACTCCCATGGCTTTGCAGCCCACCTGCACTGCAGCCACAGCAGCCTTTTCAGGATGCTCCCCTGCCTGTGGGCAGGCCTGTGGGCAGGGCTGGATCATGGGAAGCCATCCTGGGCCAGGCTGACATGAATGCTGGTGCTGTGACAGCTCAGCTGCTGCTTCAGCTAATGCAGAGATGCCCACCCATGTCATTATTTCACCTTTACAGGGAATAATGAGAAGTGCCTTGAGGTCTTCTCTGTTCCCTTCTCTCCCTCTCCTCAAAAATAACCAACAGAGCATGTGTCAGGCTGCTCCTTCACCATTAACAAAGCTCCTGTGCTGCCCCTTTCATGGTGCATTCACTCATCTATGCTGCTCTTTCCCCAGGGAATAAACCCTGGCTCTTCAGTCACATCATCCAACTTGAACACCTCCTTGCCTTGAGTAAGGAGGTTTGTCATGGCACTTATTCTGAGGTTTGCTGCTGTCTAAGGATAGCCAGCCACTATTTTGGCTACCATGGAGGAGGGCTAGGTGGCAGCACAGTGGTGATTACCTGCTGTAGTCTGCAGCAAGATGCATTATCTACATACAGGTCGACACTTGACTGCCCAGCACATGTGGGGTGTGTTGAACACATACACAGATGAACCACAATGAGTTGGTTGGGATCTCAGCACCATCTGGATAGTCCTTCACCACTGAGCTGACCACTTTGAGCAGCCTCATGATTTCTACCTGCTGCAGGGGGAAGACAGGGCATGGAGGCAGAGAGCTTGAATCAGGCCAGGTGTACAGCCATTCCTCTTGAAGACAGGGCTCTTCCTTCATCCCTCCTCTTCTCCAGCCTGGCAGGGGAGGAGGACCTCTGTGTGAGTCAGGGAGCTACACCCAGCTTTCCCCCTCTGAAGCTCACTGCTTCCAATCACACCCTTGCTGGAGGCCAACCTCATGTTCCCCGCTGAGCACCATGAATCTGCAGGACTGAGGCCAATAATGCTGTGGTTATTTGTAATAATGACACTGGGAAGAAAGGCGAAAAAAGTTTAAAATGGATTAAGAAATCATGTATGCTTGTCTGTACGCAGACTACGTCCACTGTCTTGCATCAGTTAGTGAACAATATGTTCCTTTTATCCTCCCTGGTCCCTGCCTCATAATTCCATCATTGTATCTCAGTCCTGACCCATAACTTCTCCTCCCTTCCTGCCCTCCATTACTGCTCTCCCAGAGCAGGGAGGGGAAGCTCCCACTTCTGTGGTTACTGTACCATGTGGAAAAAAAGTAACTCTTCAAACCTACAGTATCTCAGAAATCTCAAAAATGTCAAGCATGTTTTGAGGCACTAATCAAGCCTTGCCACCTCTCTACTGTGCAGGTTGCTAATATCATTCCCATTCAACAGAGAAGAGGATATGAGGTATGCAAAGTTGAACCTTCTTTTCCCCAAGGTCACACAAGAAAGTAAGTGGGAAAACCAGGGGATGTGCATGGATTTTGTGGCTCCAGTCACACAGTCAACCTTTCCCTTTATCCTGCCCTCTCACCTTGCCACAACCCACAGCTGGAGGGCAAAAGATCCCAACTGACATAAACTTTTCCACAAAATATTCAATGTGTAAATCTCAAGCCATAGCGAGGTTCATTTGCTTTGCGCAAGCAGCTCCTTTAGTCCAAGCCTACCATGCTGTGCTTCTGACAGAACTTATTTTCAATAATAAAAGTAAGGCTATGCCATATCACTGCGCTATACAGGCAATGTTAAGATAATATCTTCGGGACAAGACACACTCATGCCCCAGAGAGATATACTCATCAAGTCTTAAGCAACTGCAGTGAATTTCTACCCACATCAGTGAATCCAGGAGGCTCTAAACCAAATCCTTCATCCATGCAGGCTTCTCTCTCCCTTCCCTCCCTTTGCAGCTATTTAGAGGAATTTTAAAGGGATGCCTCTCAAAGCTGCAACAAAGATCGTACCATGCATCTAGGAGCACAGAAACTTCATGTTCTTTCTGTCAGCATCTCTTGTACATAAACTGTTTCCAAAATGTTCACTTGCACAACACAATGCAATGTGATTGCAAAGAGCCTCACAGATTCTGGGGTAATATCAACTCCCTATCTGCATTGTGTGAAGCCTGGTGAACAACGCATCTGCACAGATCTACTCCTGAGATTTTTTGTGCCTTGCTATGTTTACTCATGCACCCACAGCTCCTTCCAAAAGAAACTTGATTCTTACTTTCATGGCTGTGTTAACATGACACCAAAACCTGCTCCTCTGGCAGTTTGCAGGGGGATGAGGATGTCACGCTGTCACATCCAGGGCTTGATCTGACAGGAAACAAGGATTGCAAAAAAATCCCCCTTAACCACCTCCGGTTTGAATGGGCTCAGCTGGGAGAAGAAAACTCTCTTGATTTTAGGCACATGAACCTTCACGGGCTCAATGGAGTTTTGGGGAAAGGAGAATAATTAACTGATAGAGACAGGAAAATGGCAAAGGTTTTTATGCTTTTTACCATCAAAGGTTTTGCCTTGCACCTCCTTCTTTTCCCACAGCCTCTGAACTCTAAGCCAGATCTAACCTTTCCAAATGTAAGCAGCACTGGTTTATGCTGTCTCAAACCAGAGATTTTGAAACAGATGATCAATGGCTGCCCTCATTACCTTCCCTTAATCCACCTGCCAGTAGTCCCACGCACAGCAAAGAGAGGGGTTTGTCTCCTTTTGTTACCATTTGCATGCTTTTAGGGCACAGTGACAATCAGGACAAAAATACCACTGGGATTTCATTGTATTGTGCCGATGCAATGTAATTTGGCAGCACACAGAGAATGCAACAGAAAAACAGCAGGGAAGATGGTGATGGGAAACCACACACTCAGGCTGCAGGAGTCAGCAGTCAGTTCGTGTACAGTCATGGAAGCCAAATGTAAGTGGGACATGTACACACATCTGTGCATGCACATGCACACAGAAGGACACATAGACTAATAGGAATAAGTCAGGAGGTGCAGAAAGCATTTGAACACAGCCACAACTGCAGAGACCAAGTAGTTTATCTCCCATCCCCTTCAGAAAGAAGGGACACTTGGACAGGAGCTGCCGTAACTCTATCTAACCACTCCCTTCCTACCTTGACCTGGGGGTTCCTGGCAGAAACATGGTGTTGGCAGAGCACATGCAGAAACCAAACAGTCTAAGAAGAGCTCAAACCCAGTTCTTCTGTAAGACAATGTGGCTGGAATTCTCGATTACTGCATGGGAGTTCCCATGGGAGTTCTCATCTCCAAGGAAAAGGAAACATCTCTGGGGAGCCAAAAGCAAAGGAAAGGGAGAAAAGGAGCATGGGAATCACTTCAGGGTCTATAGGTAAGGCATCCAAAGGGAAGATCACATGGCGAGGCTAGGGACATGAGAACCAGAATGGGTGAAATTTGGACCAGTAATGAATAACTGCTGGGTTCTGTTTCTCATACCAGACACCATCTTTGTCATGAGGAAGAGGCAATGCAATTTTAATTGCCTGCACTGAGTTTGAGCAACAGCTGTGCAAGACAAACATTTTCCATATTTATACCTTGGGTCACCATGTTTTCCCCAAAACTCACATTGAGGCTGTGCATACGGATGCTGTACCCTGTGCCCCCAGTGAAGAAAACAAAAAGTGCTCATTCCTTTCTTAAATAAAGAAAAAAAAAGAAATAAGCAATATTTTAATTTTCACACTAGCAGCAAGCAGCAGGCAAGAATCAAGAAGTGTTAAGAGATGCAAGCATGTCCTTTCCAACAGATACCTTCTTCTTTGCCAGCAATAAATCCTGGTAAGCATTCGAACGGAGGAAGCGCGCATAGCTGTCACTCTTCATCAGCTTGTAAATGTGCTCCTATGGGACGGAAGGAAATGAGAAACAGAGAATTGTTATCAAACCTCATTTAGACATCACAGGGATTTAAAACACAGCGAATTAGAAAGAAGAGAGACCAATCAAAGTTCTAATTAAGTCTGCTATTATTGATTATCTGTGTTGTGGTAGCGTACAGGAGATCCATCCTGGGGCAGGACCCTGCTGTGCCTGGGGCTGTACGAGCACAAAATAAAGAGATGGCCCTCACCCTCTAAACTGGCACACACTGTTTAGTAATCAGTGTTACTGTCTGAAGCCCCCAGATTATCAGCAGGTGTCTAGCCAGGCTGAAACTACTGGGATGTCTCAAGAAGGAAGAAATAAACACCAGAAACTGTCCCACAGGTTAGGTTTCATTTCACCACTCACAGATCTTGAACTCTCATGGAGCACTCCCTTCCTGTTCACAGAGTAGAACTGGTACTTGGGCATATTTCATCTCCACTGAAGATACATACTGAAAGTAAGCCAGCCTATTAACATCCTGAAAAAGCCTGTATTTCTGGTGACTATGCAGGGTGGTTATACAACTAGATCAGATGTGGATGGCTATAACATATGCATAAAGGTATGTCAGATGAGTCCCTTTCACAGGCTCTTTTCTTCTCCTAGCAAGTCAAACTACTGTTACCAGTTTGCTCTGAGAGCACTTACTATGCACACCTTCAGACTTAAAAAGTGGTGTCTCATTGTGGCAGAACTTAATGCCTGCCCTTTTCCTACCTATGTCCTTGCTTAGTTTTGCTTTCCTGCTAATAATCCCTTAACAGTCAGCTCTTCTTCTAATTGTCCCTGGATTTCTAATAGATATTACCCCAAACACCAAGAAAACAAAATCAAAATACTTTGACTAAATAATGACTGAGAACACACTAAAGGAACTCAAGAGAAAAAACAGGCACCCTGGGTGTTTCTTTTAGACTTTGCCCAGGGAAGCACTTTTGTAGAGTTAATGAGCAATTTTATCTGTACTGATTTACACAATGTGAAATATTCTCTCCTGCCCTAAAGCCACTGTGCATGAAACTTTAGAACAGCCAAACCAGACTGAAGTTGCATAGGTTATTTCACAGTATTAACAAGCCGAGCAGAATTCCCTTATCTTCACCATCACGGGTAATTAGTGATGACCTGTCTATACACAGAAGAACTGCTTAATTCAGCTTTCTTGCACTATTCAGTATAGTCTTAAGAGGGACATAACTGCCACGGTGTTTCCTACAACACAGCATAAACATATCCTTTGAGCTAGAACCTGGTACAGAACAATCTTTACTGGTTAATTTCCATACTTGCTTGTCGACCTGACAGTTCATTTGTGTAGCATTATCTAGCTGAAGGGTAGCACAAGATTTTGCAATAGAAATGCTCAAATAACGCACTTTAGCAACTGTCACCCTTCCTTGCTGCAGAAAAACACAAGGGAGGCCATATCTTCGTACTTCTCACCTACAGCACTGCCTTGACATTTCACATCCAGCTGTGGGTCATTTGCTTTATTTATTCCTCATAGCAGCCTTCCAGTATCTGAAGGGGGCCTATAGGGATGCTGGGGATGGACTCTTCTTTAGGGACTGTAGTGATAGGACAAGGGGTAATGGGTTAAAACTTAAACAGGGGAAGTTTAGATTGGATATAAGGAAGAAATTCTTTCCTGTTAGGGTGGTAAGGCACTGGAATAGGTTGCCTGGGGGGTTTCCAGAGCCTTCCTCCTCCTAGTGGTCCTCCCTTGCAGCAACCAGTACATGAAGGCTGCTGGTGGAAGGAAGTGCTGAGGGGTGCAGGAAGGTGCTGTGAGTAAGGTAATGGGTGACAGACGTACTTCAATTAACATTTGGTAGACATGTATTTTACTGTTGGTTTTTCAGTGCCTTTGGACTCCAAATGGTTTCTTTATCTGTGGTCAGACAACCGAGTGTGCTCTGAAAAACAATGACAACATTTTCTGAAAATAACATCCATTGCCACACAGGCAGGTCACATGAGCTGTTTGCAGGCCAAGGAGAACACTCCAAGGCTGGCCATACAACCTGCCAGCACGCCAGTGACAACTATCATTCTTGCTCATGTCAAGACGACTTCATGTGCTTGACCTTAAAACAGTGTAAATTCAATATCTGGCTGTGGGAAGGGGAAAAAATTACTTCGATCCTGAGATGAAATAAACCACAAGCTGACTTCTTAACTGAAGCCCTTCCCTAAGAAACAGAACTATTGCACACCCACAGCCCAACTGCCACTGTGATTAGCTAATTGGAATGAAACATTTTCTCTGCTTTTCACATCTTGGAATCACTGAACAGCAACACTGCTACTTTTCAGTGGCTCACCAAAGATATAATCAAACAGGGAATAACTATTCCTAGGCTTTGAATGCTAATGAAGAAAGAAGGCTCGGCATAGGGGAAGTGAGGGACATGTATAGCTTCAGAAGCAACTTCACTGCTTAGAATTCAAAGGGCTTGCTTTGAAAAAGCTCTGGACTGGAGGCACAAATGATACTCTGATCATTTATTTTACAGCACTGCCTTTCTGAAGCACCTACTGGAAGTCTGAGCCGGTTGCTCAGGTCAGCAAAGCCTGCCTTCCAATTTGCAACAGTACAGGACAGCTTACATTGCTGCAGCCAAAATCCCCACTGAGATTGCACCATGAAGGTTCCTGCTAAAATTGTGGCTGCAGTGTGTGTTCAGCCCAGTTACACAACAAATCTAGCTGCAGGACGGGAAATGCCAGTGGCTAGGACATTTGTTTTGATCTTTAGCCTACACTGTTCTTCGCCACCAAGCTGTTTTCTGCTATACTTTCTAAAATCTGCAGCTTTCTAGGGAGAATTTACAGCTAGTGTTTAGCAGTTCCTCATTTTATAAATACATTGAAAGCTCCTGGAGATCTAGCAATTGGAATACTGTGCTCAGTTTTGGTCCCCACTACACAAAAAAGACATGGATGTGCTGGAAAGGGTCCAGAGGAGGGCCACAAAGATGATCAAAGGACTGGGAAGCCTGCCATGTGAGGCAAGGCTGAGAGAGAGAGCTGGATCTGTTCAGCCTTGAGAAAAGAAGGCTCAGGGGAAACCTTATCACCAAGTTTCAGTATTTAAAGGGTGACTACAAAGAAGATGGAGGCTCCCTTTTTACAAGGAGTCACATGAAAAATAAGGGATAATGGGCGCAAGTTAAGACCTGGGGAGATTCCGACTGGGCACAAGAGGAAAATTTTTCACAATGAGAACAATCAGGCATTGGAATAATCTCCCCAGGGACATGGTGGATTCCCAAACACTGGACTTTTTTTAAGATTTGGCTGGACAGGATGCTGGAACACCTAGTTAGGTCATTCTTGCCTAGAAAGGTTGGACCAGATGATCCTGGAAGCTGCTTCCAACCTGGTATTCTATGATTCTATGAACTGAGCTTATTCTTCGCAGAAGCCTGAGAACAGGGCATATCAACAGAGGTGTGTGCATGGACTTAGCTGCTCTATGCAACTTCTGCAAATTGGCTTGTCCCCTTCTATCATGGATTTTTAACTCACTTGGTCATTGTGACCCACTGGTCTCTCATGTTTTATTATACTGAGAAGCTGCTTTTGCTCCTCCTCTTTATCACATGGTGGAGAGGGAGCATAGCCTCACCAAAAGACTGAAACCTCCAACTGCAGCCAGCATCTCTAGTAATGCACTGTATATACATGCACACTCCCTGACATACCTGACACTGCTGGCAAGAAATTTGAGGCTTCCCATCCTTATGCTGAGAGAACTCAGCATTTTGTAAAGTTCTTTATTACAGGGTAAATAACTCATTGTTACTGGCTCCCTGAATACACAAAGCAAATGCACTACTTGTGTAATTCTTAACGACACAGCTGCAGCTATGGGCATTACAGTCTCTTGCAGTGTGAGCAATCTGGCCAGAGTTATCACTGTGACACTTTGTAAGTGCCACAGGAAGTTCCTGTACCACACCCGCACAACAGCAGGAGATACATTACATCTAGACAGTGCAGCATCTCCCAGCTATTGCTGGGTAGCGCTTCTCAGGTAGGGCTCAGACTCTCAGCTCCCTGCTCTAGCTTTAAGACAGAAATCCTTTAAGGAGTCACATTGCAAAAGCAAAAATGTAAAACAGTTGTATAACAGAATTGTCCAAGTGATCTAGTAAACCATTAAAGAAGGTAACACCCTGCTTCTAAAGCCAAATAGAAAGCAGAGGGGGAAAGAAAAAAAGTCTTTCAAGATTTGGCCAGGAGCTGACAGACATCACACATCCCACTGGTCTCCCCTGCAGCCTTGCCAGCTATCTCTGAGCACCAAGCTGCCATCTCAGGCCACTGCAGTGGCAGCTGCGAGTGGAGACAGGGACTGACTTGACATGTGCGAGCAAGCCCTGGCGAGCTGGCTTTTTGAGCTGACCGGTCACTTATTCCTTCACACAGTCTGCTGTTGATGAGTGCTGGCTGTACTGGTGATTCCCTGCGAGGACGGATGCACATTTGGAAATGTCAGTCTAACATGGAGGGTAACACAATAACCTGCTTTTGTAATTACAGTGCATTTTGTCACCAGGAAGCGAGCAATTCCCCTTACAAAACTGCTGCAAGCAGAGCAGATTTGCTCTCAATATCCCCAAAACTGTTCCCCAGACCCTAAACCAAGGCAACAGGGTCTAAGTGCATATCTTCTTGAGAAAAAGGTAGACCCCTTTTGTGTTTTATGCACCTGAATCACATCTCCTCCATAGTGGGAAGAACTATGCAGCAGTCCTGAGGGCTATCAAGGTCCACTGAGAATCTTCTCTGTACCTGGGCTTGTATCACCTCAGACAGCATAACTATCCCACTTGCCATTGCCAGATATATAAAGGAGAACAAAGAGTAAAATTTAATGGAGGAAATGTCGTGACTTCTGTGAACTAGAAAACAAAGGAACCAGACAGGTAAATCACAAAAAACACCCTTTTCTACAGTTACGTGAA